ATATACCTTAAATATATTTTTAGGAAGAAGTAAACATTAATGTAATTTATGGCATTTGTCAAATAGAATAATGACCATTTTGATAGGCACAAAAAGGCATTTGATAAAATATAAAACTTTTGAGCCGGCATGGTGGCACACACCTGTAATCCCAACACTTGGGAGGCTGAGGCAGGAGGATCACTGCAAGTTCAAGAGCAGCCTGGGCTACAAAATGAGCGCAAGGCCAGCCTAAACTGCATAGCAAGACCCTGTCTCAAAAAGACAAAAAACAAACAAACAACTATTGTGATTTTAAAAACTCACCAAAGAAAATGGGAAACTTCCTTAATCTATTAAAAGACATCAGTAAAAACCCACAGCTTAAATCATACTTGATTAAATACTGAGATCTCTTTCCTTGAAGTCAGAAACCAGACAAGGATGAACCATTCTCATTGCTTCTATTAAATAGCATACTGTAGGTTCCAGTCAAGCCAATGCAACTCAGCAAGATAAAGCCCTCAAGACTGGATAAAAAGAAGCATAGCTGTGATTTAAAGGATGATATAATTGTCAATTCTCTAAAACTATCTACTATAACCAAGAAGTGAAATCAGCAAGATTACTATGCATAAGATCAGTACAAAGATAATTTTATTTCTATACACTAGCAGTTAGCATTTGGAAAATGGTATTTTAAATGCTACCACAAAACTATTAAATATCTATTTTTTAAGTTTTATTGGAAAAAGGTAAAACAGAATTTCATAACAAAAGAATAGGAGAGTAACAATAGTACACTGCATACTGGCATATTCAAAGTAGTTAGAGTACAAAATATGGGCATAAAAAATTCTCCAATCAATATGAGCATGAACCTTCCTTTTCAATGAACCAAGAAACAGTAATAGTATAGCTACCTTGCATTTCTCTTTTCTTGCATTTTCCCTTTTTCCTTCCTTTCTTTGCCCTTTCCCCTCTATCTCTCCTAGTTCCTTCTTCCTTTTAAATAATTACTTCCTGTTTCACAATATCTATTGTACATTTTAGACCTTATTTACTCTTTCAAGTTCTCCCACCAGGGAGACAATACCATGTTTACACATGTGAGTCTGATTTATTTCACTTATGAGTATGGTCCCAAATTGCATCCACTTACCTATAAAAGTCTCAAGTTTATCCTTCTTCATGGATAGTATTCCATTGTATAAAATGAGTAGTATACTGAGTAGTATTCCATTGTATAAAAATACCACGTCTTTTTTATCCATTCCTCAATTGATTGGGCATTTGGGTTGTTTAAATATTTGTAAAAACAAATGAAAGGCCGGGCATGGTGGTGCATACCTACAATCCTAGCACTTGGGAAGCTGTGGCAGGAGGATCGCCATGAGCTCAAGGCCAGCCTGAGCTACATAACCGAGTTCAAGCCCAGCCTGAATTACATAGTAAGGCCCTGTGCCCAAACCAAACCAAGCCTTACCTAACCTAACCAAACCAAAGATGCAAAAACACCACTAATGTGCCCCTACTGTCAAAAAACAGGTTTTACAGAAAGAAATTTAATCAAGGTATATGTTCAGGGATTAGAAGTCTTCACCTTTATTGAGATACCAATTCTCCTTGTATTTGTTCTAAAGATTCCATTCCAATAAAAATTCTTGCAAGAGTTTTTGGAAATAAGCTGATTCCAAAGTTCATCTTAGACAACATGGTGTGCATATACATTAGTTTACACAGCAGTCAAAACCCTAGCTTAGAATAATCTCAATCACTGATTAGATGATCTATGACTACTAGTGCTTCTACCTAGAGGAAGATAATATCATCAGGCCTTAAATTATCTCTAGTTTCCATATACAATGTCTGATAAATAAAAAATAGCTCCAGGAGTACTCAAGACAATCTGATCAAAACCAAATAGAAGCTGGATTTGGTGATATGTGCATGTAAAGAGGCCAAGGTGGTAGGACTGCCTGAGCTCATAAGTTCAACACCAGCAGGGCAACACAGTGAGGCCTCATTTAAAAAAAAAAAAAAAAAGGAACAAGTAAAATCAAATAGATGCTTTTTTAAAAAAATAGGAACAGGAAAAACCATTCCAAAATTCATATGGAATTTCAAAGAATGTCAAATAGCTGAAACATTCTTGAAGGAAAAAATCTGAGGACTTGCACTTCATGAGTTCAAAACTTAATATACAGCTATGGTATCGAAGCAGTGTAATCATGGCATTAAGGTAGACATATAGATCAGCGGAATAGAATACAGAACCCAGAAATAAATCTTCCCACATATGGTCAAGTCAGCTAGACCATTCAAAGAGGAAAGGACAGTTTTTCAACAAATGGTGCTGCAAAAACTGGACACATTCAGAAGACCTTATTTTATACCACCTATGAAAATTAGCTCAAAATAGACCAAAGACCTAAATACAAGAGGGGAAAAACTCTTAGCAGAAAACATTAGGTAAAAACTTCATGATGTAGGATTTGGCAATTATTTCTTAGCCATAACAACAAAATAAAACAAATTCAACTTCATCAAAATTTAAAACTTTTACAAATTACTGGTCTATAGGTTTCCCTATGCCAGTATCACACTGGTCTGATAGGAACACAAAGGAAAGAGCTCTTGTATCTTCCTGGTTAGGACAAAGACTTCCCAGAACAGTAAGTTAGCCTACTTTATGAACAAAGAGGGACAGCCATTTCAGACAGGAGGACTAACATCTGCCAAAGCTAATTATGTTCAGCCTGTCTGAGAAAAGTACACAGTTCAGGATGTTACAACTCAAGATACGTAAAAAGAAGTTACTGAAAAGTACGCCAAATAGAGCAGACTAATATGAAGAACACTGAATGCCAGGCTAAGAAATTCAGTTGTACCCTGGGGCACAAGAATCCCTTGGAAAGCTTTGTGAATAGAAAAGAAAATCAATTTTGCTTTTTAGAAAAATCACTACAGCAGTATTGTAAATAGAATTAGGACAGAAGAAAGAGTGACACTAGAATACTACTTTAGCACAGAAATGTTACTAATGAAGGGGCAGAGAGTAGACAGGGGAAATAAGGGTAAGTCCCAGAGACTGACTTAGTCACCAAATCCCAGTCCTCTTTGTTTCTTTTAACTTATTTAGGGCAGAAAATTTGATGGACTAAGTTCATAGATCATGGTGCAAGTAGATATAAAAATGTAACAACAACCCACAGGTTAAAGAAAAAATTATAATGTAAAAAAAATTTAAACTTACAACTGAATAAAAAATATAGAACTTGTCAGATTAAGTTAAAATATGCTTGAAATCTTTTTAACAATAAATATTATCTATTAGGAAAAAAAAGCTAAAGACCACTGAGAGGAAAAGTAAAGTTAAGGACTCATGCTACCCAATTTCACTCACTGTAAACTCAGTCATCAACACTATATGGAATTGATAAAAAGACAGAAACACAAATCAACAGAGAGGTCCAGAAACAGGCTCATACATAACTGGTTAACTGACTTTTCACAAAGGTGCAAAGACAACTCAATGGAAAAAGGACAGTATTTACCTTGCTAGCCACCAGCTAGGTAAGACACAAAACATTAGTATCTTTTAATTGTTAAATGTATAGCCAATATATATTTAAATTTCACTTTATAAATGCCATGTGCCTTATTTAGTTAGAAAGAATTCAGAATGAATGTATTGTAAGGTTAAGCAAATGGGAGTTGTATCTAAGGCCATCTCTTTCTGTGTGACCTTTGTCACATCATTTAATTTCTCATTTTGGGGGTTATTTTTCTATTTCTTAAGGTCCCTCTGCCTCCTTTCTCTAAGGTTTTTGTGAGAATGAATGTAGGTGCATAAATGATGAACATGTGCAGTAGAGAAATTTAGGGTGGGGGTATAGGAAGGGAATAGAAATATCTTAACGTGGTGGTGGTCTCAGAGATACAGTATAAACATTTGCCAAACTTCATCAATTGTGCACTTTAAGTGAATATAGTTTATCATACACAATTTACATCTCAGCAAGTAGATTTTAGGAAAAACATACTGTTGAGCATGGTGGGTGTTGTGGTGTTGAGGAATTGTTAGTTTGTTACTCTATTTCCTTCCCTTTATATATTCAGTAGACACTATTCCCCACATGAAAATCCCTGAAAACTTCGTAAGTGTGAAAGTACTTATCTGTCTCCTCTGCTTCAAACTAAATCTCAACATCTTTAACTTCTCCCATGAATTTTACTGTTCTATCCTTTCATTTAACAAGATCTAAGTTTTAAGTATAGGTTCTACATTTCTCATTTCAGTCATAGAACAAACAAGTACTGTAATTCACACAAATGATAAAGTATCATGAGGTGATTAGGCAGCAGCTCCACAAAGCCTATGGGCTTCTCTGCTAGTATGCTGCTCCCTCACACTAAGAGGTTTATTATATGTTCTCACATCTTAACTAAACTATAGAAAGGCAGCTAGACAAGTATTATTTTGAAAGTTTTCATAAATTTCTTGCTCTATATATGTTTCCAAAATGAATCATATTATTTAAAAACAATAAAGGTGAGAAATGTTTTTTCTTATTTGTACTAACAACAGAAAAACTTCACTCTATTTTCTTTGGTACCAACTCAGTTATCCTGTATTTATATATTTTAAACTCAAATTGTCTCACATTGAGTTTCTTACATTACTGAATTCTCCAGCTGTTCTGTCAGCAATATTAAACAGACCCGCCTTCTCTAAATTGTTAAAATTTAAGGAGTTCACGAAAATGGATTTGTTAAAATCTGTCTAAGGCTAGAAATTACCAATATAAATTTTACAAATAAATATCTTGAATGACATTTTTATTTGCTGCTTTGTTTTGTTGTTTTAAAAGAACATCATTTTGCCCTACATAAAGAAGGCATAAAAAGTATTCTCCAATTTTTTTTTCATTTTATACTTTTTACTTTTTAATCGCTTCTCAAAAAAGTTAGTAGATGATAAAAAAAAAAACCCTCTCCCCCCAGTCCATTTCACTCACCTACAAAATGGGCTGGGAATAGTAGGTATCACATAACAAATCCCCCCATTCAGGCAAAATGACCTGTGACTGGGACCACAGGGCTCCTCGTGATCTAAAACACATATGCATATGGGACAGAGAAAGGCACATTAAAGGTTTTCTAGTGCAACCAGCAATAGGAAAACTTAACCTTAGAATGAAATAGTAATTCTAAAAGTTACAATAAAGAATTCTTTTCTCAAAATGAAGAATTTTATTCTTTATTTCATAGGGAAGGATATTTGCCCTTTTGAGAGAAAAATTAATCCATCCAAGGATATGGCCATTAATTTCAATGGATTTAGGTAGATATAAGAGAACTAAGAAGTCTCTATATTAACTAGATAAAAAGGCAGTGATGAGGGTATTAGAATAAACAGAGCCTTTCTCACTTAGTACAGTGATTCTGCAGTATTATTTATAGTTTTCCTATCCTAAGGTTATATTTAAATTCTTTTTTATTTTTTCCTCGTAGGTCTCAAATACACTAAAATCTAAAAATGTAGTGGGGAAAAGTTAGATCAAATTTTGATTTTCAAGATTATTTCTAAATACTCCTATATATGACAACTAGTGTCAAAAACCAAAGATAATATAATGTGATACAGCTTTAATTTGCAGGGATTTTAGGTAATAGCTAGTAATTGTAAAGATTATCTAAACTTATCAAATAAAACAAAAAACCCCTAAGTTTTGCTTAACATATAGCCAAAACTCTCCAAATATTAAGAAAATTAACCTCCATTTCTCATTTCTCTCACTCCTCTTTCTCCACTTTTACTTCCTTATCTCTGGCCTTTTTTTTTTTTTTTTTTTTTTTTAATCTTTCTTCATCTCTTTGCCTCCCCTTTCTCCCTTGGTGCTTTCTCCTTCCTTCCTGACTCACTTCCACCCCTACTCTTTTTTTATATTTTTGAGACAGAGTCTTGCTATATAGTTCAAGCTAACCTTGAACTCATTCTGTAGCCCAGGCTGGCCTTGAACTCAAGCAATCCTTCTGTCTCAGACTTCCAAGTGCTGGGATTATACCCCTAGTCTTAAAAAGAGAAAAGAAAAGAAAGTCCTTTTCTTTTTACTCTTGGTCATCAAAACCATTGTACAGAAAAATTACAAGTAAATACATTTAAATGTATTAAGTCATTACTATTTATTATTTATGATTAGAAGATTTTATCTTTTGGCTTTAAAGTGAGTATTGTATCACTTTTAAACTGCACATTATTAGTTCCCAGCTGTTTCTAAGAAATGACCCAGAATCATCTAATGTGAAGAAGAAAATAATATTACTCCCATTTGCCACCCAGCTCAGCATTTAAAAAAGTGTACCAATGTTTAAAAAACTTTCTAATATTTTTGCCACTAAGAAGTCAATACCTGTTAAGATATAATTGTTATGAGCCAAAGTGTTCCCAAAGTGTTACAGCTTCACATTTTAGGACTTTTTAAACTTTGAATTGAGAAAAACTTGTTTCAACATCCCATTATAACTTATAAAAGTTATAAATGTACAGAGGAAAATATAATCACAGAGAATTTAAGTGTTCAAAAAGAAAACAAACCAGCCAAAACTAAGTATTTCTTCATCATTTTTATACAATGTTATGCTTTTTTATAATCAACTTTCACTAATATCATCCAGTTATTCAAAAGTAATAAATAAAACATCAATTAACATTAAATCACATTAAAATCACGAAGTCATTACATATGGCTTTCTACGGAGGGTGAAATGTAACTTCTTCACAGCCTAAATTAATGTCCTTGTTTTAACGAGATTATAACAACATATCTCAATACTTAATATCTTATCAATAAAGAATACATTCCTCTAACGCAAATCACTATCTCTGGATCTATTTTTATTCCTATACTGATTTCATTTATTCTTTGAAAAGTTGATATCAGATAGATTAAGCTATAATCTGTCAGTTTGTAAAAGCCATTAAAATATGTAAATCTAAAATAAAATAGTCTTATGTTAGAAAATTAAAGTCTTTCAAAAGCAAAATATTTCATATGTTTGGAATGATTTTAGGTAGGGAGTTCTATAGCCTTGTGTTAATATACAGTTGTCTTATTGCCAAATGACACACATTAACAAAAGTATAAATTTATAAGAAATTACCTGTTGGCATCTTAATTTTTAAATAGTTTCATTCTTGGTGATAAGATTAGGGTTGAAAAACAGCACCTAAAATAGTTTAAAATCAATAATTTAGGAAAAATTATCTTCTCTTGAAGGCATTATACAATATCAAAAATTCTAACACTCATACTCTTAAATGTTGGAAAGATTACATGTGTGACAAAACTAAGTAGAACATTTACTTTTTAGATTATATAATCAATAAAAGTGATACATAATCAATTTTATATTATATAGTATATGTATACATAATCAATTTTACATTATATATCAATAAAGTCTGAATGATACAACTAAACAGTAAACACTAAAAAATATAAATGTGCTCAGTATAAATCACTGCATAAGTAATATGATTGAATCTCGAAACTCTGCAGAAAAACTTGACAAATTTTGTTTTTAATAAATATTTTACATGTAGTACCATACTATATAAAATTATATATGTAACATGAGGTAGCAAATGAAATTGACCTTAATTGACTTTTTGCTTTTTCATAAAAGCTACTAATAATCTTACTTTTAAAAAGAATCAATAACTGCCACTTTTTCAATTTATTGAAAATAGTGAAATATAGAAAAATCTCTAATAGCATTCAAAATGTTTGCATTCCTATAGAATCCTTAAAACTTTCATAAAAGCATTTCTAAGTTTACTGTAAACTGTACATTACCTGTATCAATGTACACATGCTTCTCTTTCAGAAAAATGTCTGGCATCTGGCAAAGCAAAGTAGCTAATGAGAAATGCCTGTGTGTGAAATTTTCTGCTTATATTAGAAATGAAGGAAATAAAAATATATTTGAAGAAATGAAGCATTTTATACTTATATTATGATTACAAACTCTCAATTATGTTTTACAAAGGCAATGTATTCCTGATTTAAGATTGTAAGAGAAATCTTAATCTACAAATTCCTATTAACACAGGTGTAATACCAAGGTCTTCTCCCAAAGCCAACCACCCTTTCTCTTATAGACAAGGTGGGGGAGGGAGAGAAAGGAAAATATACACGTACATAAATCTGAAATAATCACTAGCTGATTCTGAGTTTCTTTTTTCCAAACAAATAGGGCTTACCTCAATAAAACTTTCATTCACACAAAAACTGAATTTTGTTAGACACGCAGTATTTCAAAACTTTTCGAATACTTCAGGCTGTAGCAGCTGTGCCTTGTGTTCTGTAACACGTCAAAAATCTGATTTATAGTACTGCAGTTTGGGCGAAGGCGAGGCGGACCAGGATGTGCACAGAGGTCAGGCACCTGAGGGAACCACCCCTTCAGTCTACATGTTCAGAGTTGCTTAGGAAAGGAGCTGTGTACTAAGTTGCACTCTCAAATCACTGTCCAAGTTTCAAAGTTATGAAATAAACTACATTCTTTAGACTCTTTACTTATCTTTGCATGTCCAGATAATCAAGAGTATTGTGTAAGTTTGTGGATAAAAGGAATTTTAATATGACGTTAATGGACAAGTGTCCCATAAGATGTTTAAAAAACTAATGTCCTTATAAATCACATATAGTTTATATATAAAGATATGAAGACCTTACAAAATTGAAAGAAGATAACAGTTCTGTGAGCTTTATAACATCATATCCAATTTAATATGATATTATTATTGAACTTGAGTAATACTGATGGCAAGATAACTAACTACCTGAAAACTAAGGCAAAGTTATTTAATATACATTTTTAAAATCTTGTTTTAAAATATTGACTAAACTTCTAATTCTGTTTAAATCAAGCATAGGATTCTTTATCATATAATTAAAATATGTCAAGCATTTAGATGGTTTTCATTTCTAAAACCACAATTCAAATAACATTATTACTTGATTGATGTAAAACACAGAAATTAGTACATCTGTTCTTTAAAGAATATTAAAATAGGGCTGGGGATATAGACCAGTGGCATAAGCACCTGCCTGGCAAGTACAAAGTCCTGAATTCAATTCCTGGTACAAAAAAAAATTAAAATAAAATAATATAATTAAATATATGAAAATAATTCTTTTTAGTATCACATATTATCTCCCACAAGGGCAATTTTACATAATCATTATAAAAATATATGTATACATACACAGTCACATAAATTATTTTAGCTTACAGTGTTCGACTTTTATGAAAACTCAGTATGGTATCCTTTATTATTTCATTTGCACTATGGAACAGCTGTGCTGTCTACTTATACAGAAGTGCCTACTAAATTCTATGTGAGAAAGCATCTGACATTATAATGATATTCAAGATGTATTTATTAAGAGACACATCATGGCTGTTTTATATTAAATATTTTCCTGCATGATGCAAATAAATTTTGGAGCCATATACAGTGATTCTAAAGTAGAAAATGTAAAGATTTTCAAGGTAACATTTCACTCAGAGTGAAAGCCTTGGTATTTAAGAATAATTTCTTCATTCCCCTATCAATAAATATGTACTAAGTGATCTATTACCCTTAAACAAATGACAGGGGTCTTGCTGGACTGGGAATGACAGACACAAACACAAGTAATTACAAAATGTATTTTATAAAATTCATTTTAATGGAATTTTGGAAAATCAATCAGAATCTGCAGAGGAAATGTTATAAGAGAAAGCAGTTTGGAAGCTATTTTAATAATCACGAATAACGAAAAACAGCAATAGAAATTAGGATAAAAGGAGGGATAATTAAAATATACTTAGGAGGTACATCTACAGAATAGGTGAGCACAGTAAAAAAGAAAATCAAGGACAACTTTCAAGTTGCTGAAGTTAAATAGGTAAAGCAACAGCTACTAGAGAAATTCCTATTAAAACTACAATGATGTAACATTTTATATCCACTAGAATGGCTATAGTCAAAATGACAGACAATAACAAGCTCTAGAAAAGACACAGAAAAACTTGAACTCTCGTATTTTTCTGGTGGGACTATAAAATGGTACAACCACTTTGAAAAGGAGTTTGTTAGTTGCTGAAAAAGTTGGCCAGGTGTGGTGGTGCACACCTATAATCCCAGCATTCAGGAGGTTGAGGCAGGAGGATTGCTGCAAGTTTGAGGCCAGCCTGGGCTACATAGTGAGTTCAAGGCCAGCCTGAATTATATAGGAGACCCTGTCTCAAAAAACAAAAAACAAAACAAACAAAAAATTAAACATGAGTTTATCATATGAATGTATCCAAGAGAAATGAAAACAGAAGTCCACACAAAGAACTGTACGCAAATGTTTAGAATGCTATGGCTCCAAACTAGAAAGAATTCAAAAGTCCATCAACTGATGAATGGATAAACAAAATTGGTATGGCCATACACTGAAGTCGTATTTGGCAATAACATGGAATTAAGTATTAGAACATGTTAAAACATGAATGGACTTCAAAAATATGTTAAGTAAAAGAAGTCAATCAGAAAATCACATATTATATGATTCCATTTATATGAAACATCTAGAAAAGGTAAATCTATAAAGGGTAGATTAATGGGATTGGGGTGGGAATTGAAAGCAGCTGCAAATGAGCATGGGGGATCTTTTAAGAGTGGCTGAACTGGATGGAAGAGCAGTCAAACAAGTCTGCAAATATATAAAATGTCAAATAATTATAAGCCTAATACAGGTGAATTTTATGATACGTAAGTTATATTTCAATAAAGCTTATATTCAAAGGAATATATAAACCAATTTCATGAGTAAGATAATGATTTTCACTGTGAACATGTTAAGTTTTAAGTGCTTCTGGGACATGCAGAAATAGATTGTTTGGAAATGCAGGTCTTGCACTTAGAAAATAATCAGGTTAGAGATTAAGAGAGCAGGACTCAAAAGTCCACAGGTAGTTGTGCAAGCCATTTACTACGCATGTGTTATGCGAGACAGAGGCCAAGGGCTGATTCCTGGAGGACAGCAAAATTTCAGCACTGGTGGTTGAAGAAGGACATAAAAAAACAAGAGGAAAGCCAAAAATCTTCTCCTCAGAGGCAAAGTCTTCTTTGTTTTTAGTATCCTGATGCTTTCCTCTGTAATTCAAAATGCTTTTAGTTTCTATTTCTAGATTTAGTACTTTAGGCAAAATGTAGGCAAAAAACAAGCAAAATCAAGTCCCAGAAAACAAGGTTTTAACTATTTTCACAAATTCTCTCTTTCACCTTTCATTTCAATATTTAAAAATTATACTATCTGCATTTCTCCTCTTGATTAGATTTGTAATTTCAAATAATATACTACAGCCCCTCAATATTTCCTGGTTAGTTACATGATCCCCAGCAAATACAAAACTCCATGAGTGCTCAAGTCCCTTATATAAATCATATTTATATATCTCCTATGCAAACCTACTTATATATTTTAAATCATTTCTAGATTACTTAAATACCTAACACAATGTAAATGCTACATGGGAGTTGCAACACTGAGTTATTTAGGCAATAATGACAACAAAAGTCTATACATGTTTGGCACAGATGCAAATTTTTTAAAAATTTATTTTAGATCCTCAGTTGGCTGAGTTTATCTGGTGCAGCACCCAGAGGTGTGAAGGGCTGGCTGTACCTCAATGTCCTAATGAACTTGGGTCAGTTCATGGAATAACTACTGATCATGGGAAATAATAACTGCACCACTAGTTTTCCTTCCACCTTTCTTCCCCCATTTTTACCTTGTTAGCTATATCTTGACTCTTAATCATAATTTCTAACATCTCAATTATGTAACCCTAATGAAGTCTTTTTATACTTGTCTCTTAGTTTTATTCTAAAGTTGAAAACTAAAAAGTACTTTTATTGTCACTATGTGATTATTATTCATGATACATCCATGAACTTGCTAAAATAACATATCCTTCTTTTACTTTAGTGTCCTAATGCCTGTTGCACTTATAAGATACTATTTTTGATGATAGACTCTCTTTTAAGTTCTGAATGGTGATTATTAAAATCATGCCACATTTTAAATAACATTTTATCCACACCATATTTTTCTTGCACAGCTTTCCTTACATTGTCTTTCTTTTTAGGGCTGACATAGGTTAAAGAATAATATGCTACACAGTGCCTGCCTGGCAAGCCCAAGGTCGTGAGTTCAATTCCCGGTACCGGAAAAAAAAAAAGAATAATACGCTAGAATTCTAATAGCATGTTCCTTCATTATACTATGTATTTCCTGAGACATTCTGTGCACAACTCTCCACTACTTCCTGCTCAAATCTGGACTGAGTGTTCTCTAGAACTGCACTAAGTACAGCTGTCATCCCAAAATTTCCCTTTGATGATCTGAATTTGTTCTAGTTTCCTAGTTTCCTAGATTCCATATCATCTGTGGTTGGACATATTAATTTACACTAAAAACAATTTCCCTGCAATTTGAATATTGCACTGCTTTCTCTAATATCTAGAGGCAAAGATGAGAAGTCTGATGTCAGTGTAGCAATTAAAATTTTGTAGGGAAGCAGTTTGCCCATTTCCTGTAAAGTATTTAAGATCTATTTGTGTTAGATTCTAAATATTTTTGAGAATGTTACCTTGCCTTATCTTCAAAAAAAAAAAAGAAAAAGAAAAAAGAAAGTTTTTAACACTTGACAACCATTTGAACCCTTCCTATTTGAAGACTTATGTTCCTTCAGTCTTACAAAAATTTTTTTTGTTTTGATCACTTTTCTCTCCATTAGGAGGGGTTGAAAGGAGGGTAGGCAGATGGGGGAAAAGTTGTATTATTTTTCTCTTCCTTATAAATTCCTGTAATTTGGATGTTGAATATGATTGTTTTTGCCTCATTTGCATCTGTATTTTGTCATATTTCCTTCTTTTTAAAATTAATGTTTTGGGAGGGTTTTTCAACTGTTTTGTATCACTGCCACTGAATTTTCTTTAAAGTTAGTGGTATTTTTAATCTATAAAAGCTCTTTATTCACTTATTCATTTTTCACAGCTGTTCTTGCTTAAAGGATGCAAGAGCATTTCAAACTAGACAAAATCTACAAAATAAGAAGATAGCTCTAAATTGGCTAAATTGGTTTCCTGTATTACATTACTTCTAGGATCAGTGTTATTTTGGCCTATTCTAATAAGTTGTTTCCTCTCAAATACCTGCTAAGCCTTGAGTCTTAGTTACTTTTCTTGTTGTTGAGACAAAATACTAGACACACAAAGTTAAAGGGAGAAAGGTTTATTTAGCCAACAGTTTATAGAGGTTTCAGTCCATAATTAATTTGGCTAGCATCAAGGCAGGGTGGCACATAGCACAGGGGCAACATTTCATGGTGGCTGAAGACAGCAAATG